TGGAGAGAAACATCAGCTGTGCTGCTGCCATCAACACCCTTGTTTATAGATGTTTGAGATCGGCCTGTTTTCCAGTGTGGTCCTGTTTCTCTGACTGTGACTGGCTGGATGTGCTCTTTTACATCCTCTGGCATGGGAGCTGGCGGGAGCTCGTCTGCCTCGCTGTGTGTTTTCTGGACGGGGCCGCCTCTTACAGCTGCTTTTTGAATCTCTGCTTCTGTCTCCTTGAACCCCAGTCGGCCTCAGCAGATGGCCGCTCACACTGAGCCTGGTTCTGCTGGAGGTTTCTTCCTGTTAAAAGGGAGTTTTTCCTCTCCACTGTCTCTACAAGCATGCTTAGTGTGAGGGGTTGTATTTGAGTCAATGAGTCGATGCAATCAACTGGTTTTCCTTAGATAGAAAACTTTGAATCAATTTGACTGGATGATCTGGTTGAACTGTAAAGTGCCTTGAGATGACATGTGTTGTGAATTTGGCGCTATATAAATACACTGAATTGAATTCAAATGAAGCACCGGATTGACGTCAATTCGGAGATGTTGCCTTATTTGTTCCTGGCCTTTTGTCATGCCCCAGAATTGGCATACAGACCAACCCACTGGTTCACTGGCCCAAGAACATGAATAGAGGAAGATGGAAGACACCAGTTTAGCTGTTTAGCCTACAGTTGGGTTTACGTCTACAAGAATTACAAAGCAGGCAGTTTCTCTATTGAAAATGAGCCAGAACCACGGGCGTCAATGCAGTGTTCCAGGCTGCATGGAGGAAGGGGAATATTTTTCACAATCTTCCCAAGGATCTGAAGACTCTTTTTGGATTATTTTTGTCTTTCAGAAGATCCTTGCAAAGTTTGATGCTCAACTGTTCGTTTGCTGTAAGCATTTTATCGAAGACAGCTTTCACAATCTTGGACAGTTCAAAGCAGCTTTTGCTAAACTTCTTTTACTGAAACGAGGGGCTGTTCCCACCTGGAAGGATGATTCTGTCGCTAAGCTGTCGATAGCAATGCTAACGTACCTATGGTGACCAGATTTGGGATTCTGAAATTTTTTTGGAATAATGAAACATTTTACACATGTATCAATTAAACAAAAAATGAAACATAAAGAAATAAAACAAACAACAAAGGATAGTGAATGGAAGGAATGTAAATGGATGCACCTAAGATGATCCGAAGGCTGGATGCACCAATTAATCAGTTCACACATGCATGTATTGGTCGATGCCGATAAGAGAAAAAAAATGCTAATATTGGCCAAACATTTTGGTGTATCAGTCTATCACGACTCTGTTTTATGATGATATAGCTCTTTGGCCCCTGAGGGAAACATAATTAACATGTTATTTGTTAGACCAGCAAAAAGGAGTCGTTAATTGTGAAGTGAAAGGAAATTAACTTATGGTTTCCAGTTACTTTTAAAAATAGGACTGTGATGTAAAGCTTTTTAAAGCGAATTCTCTAAAACCACAGATTTGACTTCTTACACATGGATGGTTTTGATAAAAGTCACATCATTGCATCTCCAAGCCAGTCTCACCTCCTTTTTTACAACTTGAAGGAGGATTTATTGTCAAGTAGAAACTCTCATACATATCCTGCCAAAGAAGAGCACAGCATAATACTACCACTGCTATGTCTCATTGTTGGGATGGTGTTTTCAGGGAGCTTTGCAGTGTTAATATTCTAACCAAACACCGTCTGATCCACAGAGATCAGTTGCTGTTACAGAGTTTGTGTCAAACTTCAATTCTTATGACCTTCATACCAAAATAGCGTACATCTTTAATAGCTTACTTCTCTCTATTAAGACCAAATGTTTAGGAAAAATAATTATTTATAGCTGTCTTCTCTATAGATTTCCCCACCTTACTTGCTAATCTATGCACCTCTCTTAGAGCTACTGTGTGCCTCTTGAATTATTATTCTCAGTTTATGATTGTTATCAAAATATAATTCATTTTATGGAAGTTTTTTTGTTTCTCTTTTTAAATGTTGTCATCTGTATTATTAATTAGTTTCTAGATTGTGCTCCTTTTGAATTGCTTAGTGTTTTAATATGAGACAACCTGTTTATCCTGTAAAAATGCATTAATATCTTATATAAGCTCACTGTGTTTCTGAGTATTTCTTTGTATTCTGTTAGTTTCTGCAAGTCTGTTACTCTAGTATCAAAGCATTTAGCATAAAAACACTATTTAAAATAATCTTGAATGACGTTCTGGTATTAAAAGACATGAACCTGCTGTCCATCTGATGGATTATCTAGGAATATGTGAGCTACATTCTAACATATAAAAAAAAAATGTTAAAATTAGTCAAATGGAGAATGTAAAAATTTTAAACTTGAGTGAGAGATTTAAAAAGTTGTTTAATTTAAGTCAGTTGTTTTAATTAACTAGTATTTAAATAGGATAAAACATCCTCTATTTAAATATAAATTATTATTATTTTTTTTTTACTTTTTTTTTCAGGTGCATGAGTATCTGCATAACTACAAAAATAAATTAATCACATTTTTCCAAAATATTGGTCCCTAATTGTCCTTAGATCCTAGAATGACCAAGGCTCCAAAACCATCACACTAAATCAACAGGAAAAATAGGAGCACAACACAGATCAAATTAAGATCAGTAGGTGATTTTGATTAAATTATGTGTATGTATACTTTAGAATAAGTTATGTTTTGCTTAAGAATAAAGTATAAAGAATGCACTGACTGTTTTAGCACCACGTCTATAAAGTATGCGCCACAATAAACATTTCTCTCTTCCATTTTTACTGTCTTTGTTTTAATGTTGTCGTAGACGGCTTGAAACGGCACAACCTGTGAAACCAAAAACAATGATGGTAGTTATTTTTGCCATAAGGTAAAAGTAGAAGAGAACAGATTAATCTACCTCCTGACAAGTAGAAGGAACGTCCTCCTGCTCATCATCATTTAAAGGAACTGGAACTTCCACAAAGTTGGCAAAAGAAGGACTGGGAATGCGGTTTCTGCGCCAACACTAGTTAAGAAACATTTAACATTAAAATAAATTAAAGATATAAACTTTTAGCAGATATGTGTCATTTTTCCTGGGAAGTGATTTAAATTTAACCTCCATCATGTCTTTAATTTGGCTGTTGAGAACTTCTGTGAGCCTGATTTCCTCCAATGTTTCCTCTGCGATGAGCCGCCAGTACTTGCAAACACTCCTACAGCAAATCAGTGATTTCTCATCCAGCAGACCTTGCAAAAAGACATAAGCACAGCTGAAAATTGCCTACAGTGCAGTCTTTTTTTATTGTTTATCTTTTAACTCTTCATTATTATAGACTTAGACGGATTTTATTTTGTCATTTTGCACACACAAGTGTATACAAACAGAAATTTCGTTAAGCACTGCTCTCTAGACTATCTTTTTTTCTTATTTTACACTCTGTTTATTTTTTAGAGTTATGATTAAGAAATGAAGTTATGATTAAGAAATGAACAATTGTTGTTAAACTTATGCAAAGATAAAAACCTAAAAAAGAATAACCTTTTTTTCTTTTTTTTTTTTTTAAAGTGCAGCCTTGATAAAGGTAATCAGCAGTGAAAAAAAAACATTGAGATAAAAAAAAGTAATGCAAACATATGACTGTATAGTTACAGTTCCAACATTTAGGGTTTTTTACAAGTTTCTTTTTATTATGCAGTTATATTATAATACATATTATATTATATATCTATAGATAGATAGATAGATTTATTATTATGTTATTTTTAGACATTTTTCTAAGTTCCACATCTGTGAGACAATTTTTTTCTATCATCTTTTTGCTGCTGTGAACACCAGAAATTGTGTGGGACAATAAAGCAATAATAAAAAAATCTATTCTATTTGGAAAATTTTATTTAAAACAGTGTTTATAGCTAGTGCTTAGAATACTGCTGTGTCATTTAATATAAAAGGTAAACCATTACAGCCGGTTCTTTAAACTTGCTGAATTATGTGAGGAAAACAAACTAAACATCATGACACTTATTTAATTAAGATTAAAAACTCACCAAAAATCCTCTTGGATAGTTTTACAGGCAAGCAACATATAATATCTTGATACTTGCTGGATCCAGAAGCAAACTTTACATATTCGTTCACCTGGAATATTTTTTTTAGCTCGTCTGAAACTTTCACCGCACGCTGAGTCGGTCCCTGTGATCTCGGAGCCAATTTACCGTGGAACTTTTTTCCAACGTTCAGAGACGCCATTTTTGGTAGAGTTTGGAATGTTGACGTTGCCCAGGCAACAGTTTTGTTGGAGATTTGTTTGGGCGGACGGAGCCAGAGTACGAAGTTTCCATTAGCAACAGAACAGCTCACTCAAAAAATGTTTAGAGATTTTGAGTTGATTGTTATTCTCTCTTAAATCAGCAATATAAATAAGAATCAAAGACAACATATTATTATTATTAATATAATTTAAACTATTGCTAGCCACTAACGTTAGAATATTTTTTCTAGAAAAGCTAAACGATATATAGGCCTATATATATATATTTTTTTTTTTATCCAAATATTGGTCTATTGGCAATTTAGACTGAGATGAATACAGTAATCCAGAGGCAAAACAAAAAGCTTCCCCCTAATAAGAAGCTCGCATAAATGAATTGTTCCCTGATTCAACCAAACTTAACTGTGTTGCTGATCAGCGTAAACACAAATGAGAAAAAAGAAGTGCGCCGCCCGGGAATCGAACCCGGGTCGCAAGAATGGGAATCTTGCATGATACCACTACACCAGCGGCGCCGTCGATGAGTACAAAAGACACATGCTAATTATAGACACCCATACTGCGTTCGTTACCAACATACCAGTGACCTACAGAGGGCTTTCTGTATATGCATACCTTATTTGGAGTCACGGTTCTCTATTAGAAAACAAACTTTACATTTTTTGACATAATAAGATAAAGGGAAAGCTTTTTTACATTTTTAAAGGAAATGTGTGACTTTATTCTGAAAGAGAGCAGCCGCCATGTTTACTTCCGGAGTAACTTCCTCTAGGCTAAGTCCTCATGTTGCTAACGGTCGAAAAAAATGTTTTTGAGAACAATTTACTTTTAATTTAATTTTTAATCATTGCTGCAAGTCGAAAAGGGGTTCGTGATTTTCTCTTCTTTTTACTATTAGAATTTGGGAAATAGCTTTCCATTTAACTACGTCTTTTTGTTACTTGAAGTCGTACTATGTAGCTGTATTAGGCTAATTGTGATATAGTTTTAGCTATTATGTGAATTTAACTTGGCAGACAGCTGTTAGCAAACTTTGAGCTGAATGGGACATTCAGGAGATATCACCTAAAGGTGGTTATTCCAGAATGATGACTGAAATGAAGACTTGGCCTTTGGTGAACGATATGAGGAAGTTAAAGATTTTTCACAAATGGAGGAGATTCCCTAAGAGATTTCTCAGATTGCCAAAACTTTAGGGAACAGTTCTTGGTAGTGAACATTGGCTAACGTTCCTCTTGAATTCAGTGAAGGTACCAAAGGGTCAAAACTTTAGAAAACGCTATCTTTATTTCTTCTTTATGATGGTGTTCCCTGGAAGTTACTCTATTTATACGCTTAAAAGAGCTTCCTCTGAATTTTATTGGAAATTATAGATTTTCAAACCTTTAGGGAAAATCTCTGGACATTGTTTTAGTTTAAGACATTTTCTAACCTATTGAAAACCTTCTCTTGATGATCTTTATTTGTGACAAGCTTTCTAGAGTTTTCCCTGCTTATATCCAATAAAGATGGAAATATTCCATCTGTTAAAAGGGAGTTTTTCCTCTCCACTGTCGCTACAAGCATGCTAAGTTTGAGGGATTGCTGAATGAGTCGATGCAATCACCTGTTTTTCCTTAGATAGAGAAGTTTGGATCAATTTGAATGGATGATCAGGTGAACTGTAAAGTGCCTTGAGATGACGTGTTGTGAATTGGCACTATAGAAATAAACTAAATTAAATCTATAAAAAATGTCCCCTGAATGTTACGTATTTAAAAACCCATTACACAGTCCTCCTGAAATTTCCTATAATAGTTTTACAATTTCTAATCTTTATGAAGATATTCGGTTTTTTTAAGTTTATTGAATTGGTTTTGCTCAGACAATTTTCTCTCTCAGTGGTGACAAAAATTTCTAAGAAGCTGTTGATAGGTTCTCTACAGTTTAAGGCCTTTACTGTCTTTGTTCATGAAGTATAAGGAACAGTGATTTATTCCTCCATTCTTTTAATGGTGGCTTCTGCAATTAACGTATACAAAGCCAGATCCAAGTTCAATAAAGTGGGATGACATAAAAAAAAAATGAAAAGGAGACATGTGAATAATTGATCTGATTTTAGTTAATGCCGAAAAATGTAGAAACACCAGAAACAAGAAGTTGCTCTAATTTCCCTCATCTCTTACAGCGATTTATAATCATGACGGATGACGACAAGATGGAGTGGGTTGAGACGACCGAGGAGGTTAATGAATCTGAGGAATGCGTCTCCCTGAAGAACAGCGATCCAACAGGTGAAGAGTCATAAATGTATTTTAATCTTTATGAAAAATTATATTTGCCTCTAAAAGCTTCTTAAATGTTGCATCTCTTTCTATATAAATTGGCAGATTTGGAGTCAACTGAAACATCACTCCAGAAATTGTTGAACGCTGTGGGGCAGGATGAAAGCGCTGAAGGACATGATGGCGTTTGTAAGCAAGCTAAATGCCCCCACAACACACACAGCACGTTTCTCTATCCTCGTGGGGAATTTAGGCTTCTGATGCAAAGCCTCTGTAACCATCAAATCTGTCTCTGTGCACGACTACGCCCGCCCCACGCAGAGGTTCGTTGCACACCTCAAAATTCTTGACTACGCGTCAGACGGTCGCAAACCCATGAAGACCTCAAGCGGAAGTGTGCAGACAAAAAGCAGCTGTGATTGGTCCTTGGTATGCCTTTCCGGCTGTCTCTGCGGTCGTCCTTCTCCATTCGGTGCAGGGGCGCGCCATTTTTAAAAACCGAGAAAGAACTACAAAGGACAACGTATGCGTCCTCCTTTGTCTTTTTGCCAACTCCATTAACAGAACCTGTTCCTCTTCGATGTCTAGCAACTCTAGATCCATCTCCGTGACCAGATACCTTGCAGATGCGCCATTGTTGTTTTGGAAGATAAACACTCCCGCCGGTGCCTCCAAAGTTCTAGTGAATCTAGGGCTGGGCGATAATTCAATAACGATATATATCGATCGATAGACGTGTGGCGCAATAGAAAAAAAGGGAGTCGATAAAAGTTCGATAAAGAAACGCAGTTTTCCTTCCTTCTCATTGTAGCCTAGCATGTAGGTTTATGCTAGTCACTACTTCCTCCCAACCAATCACAATTGCAGACCCAGGCACGCTGTCACAAAGCGCCGCCCTCTCAAACCACAACACAGAGCACATGAAGATGTCGCAGCAAGGAGAGGCGGAGGAAATTGTTCCAAAGAAAGGTTTTTGTAGTTCGCCAGTCTGGCAGTATTTCGGTCATGGGAATTCGGGAATTTCGGGAAAATATATATATTTTTTCAGCTCTGGGCAGTTTCCCACGTAGTTCTAACAATTGAGAGAAAAATGCTGAGGGGCCAGAAACTTCAAACTAATAACTCAGGTTAAAGCAGGAAACGGGGGCGGCGGCGGGCGGTCCATTTATTTATTTGTTATATTTATTTGGTCACTTTTCTGATCACTGTAGTTTATTCTTTGTCAGTATTTAATAACATAACTCAGGTCTCTTAAGTTATTTTTCTTTAAAACAATTCTGTTATGGTTAAAAAAGTTGGTTAAATAAAGATTTAATTCAAAGTCTGTGTTTGTGTTCTTTATTAAAATTAAATCATTTAGCAATATCATAAAACGTCCAGGCAGAGCTGCACATAAAATAGTTTAAAATCTTTTCAATAATTATCGATATCGATCAATATGCATTTTTTTTATCGATAAGCTTTTTTTCTATATCGCCCAGCCCTAAGTGACCATCCGCCAAACTTCTCACAAGTTCTCGAATAAGCTCCCCCTTGCACTTTTGCAGAAACCTGCTGTGCGTCCCTAGAAATTCCAGACCAGTGGTGCAGAAGCATACCAGCAAAACTGGTTCGCGACCAGACCCAAGCCACATTTGATGTGTGCGGCTGCAGAAGTATAATCTGCTCTTTACACTTAAGCCTAAAACAACATTTGTACCCATGGGGACCAGACATTGGTCCCCACTACAGCACTTGGTCCCCACATGCTAAGATTTATTGAAAACTGTCCCCACCATGTAATAAAAACACACACATAAACTTCTTTTCTCTTTCTTTCCTTTTATAATGAACAGTGATGTAATAGAGCTGTTGAACCTTGTGTTGCACAAGTCGTCCTAGGTTATCATCCATAACCATACCAGGTTTGGATGATAACCCAGTTATTTTATTTGCATGCGGAAATAATCTTTTATACGATTCTTCTGTAAGTGATACTGGTATTCATTCAATGACATTTTTTGTTTAGATTTTAGCCACACCAAAAAGCCTGACTTTAACTCCCTGTTTTTCTTTTTCTTACATTTCTAGGTTGCGAGGAATGTCTGCCTCTGTTTCAGGATCAGACTAACCCTGATCAGATTAATGGTCCATCATTTGTTCTTGACTTCCCTACAATCATGGGGGTACCACAGCGAGCTCTACTCACATTACCCTTTGGCCTGATGATCGGCAGATCTAGCATTCCCTGTGCAGGGGTAGGGGTGATAAATCAAGGACCAGCGCTCTCTCCAGGAATGCATTTTGGACCGTATGAGGGGGAGGTGACGACGAAAGAAAACGCAATGGCTAGTGACTTTTCCTGGGAGGTGAGTGCAAACGAATCAACGTTTTGTCATGCTACATGGCAGCATCACGCCATGACGAATGGAGCTAAATACTGATACAAAGCATTAATGATAAAGAAAACTAATACTTGAGAAAACATTGCTGATATCTTTCTGTTATGGTTTCATTGCAAGTCCAACATAGTCAATAATTCATCCAGCTGCTGCAAAACAAAACTGATTTTCATTTCAACTCTATGGTTTCATCAAAGGATCAGTCAGGTGGTTTTGAAACAATTAAGTTATACTTTCTAAGAGATTTTACCAGAAAATAAAATTTTTTGGTAAAATCTCATTTTTTTTATTTTTTTTTTGCATTGAACATAAGGCATCACCAAATATACAACTGGCTCAAAGAGCCTAAATGCAGGGTACTTAAAGCTACAGTGTGTAATAATTACAGGGATATACAGTCAGAAATGTAATATATTATACATAACTATTTTATTTTATCATCATCTACGGGCTCAGCCTCTTAACCTTAATATTTGCGTTGCCTTAGAATTCGTTATTTATAATTACATAGGAGCGGGTCTCGCAGCCATGGAGGCAGACATCTTTGCGCTACGGCAGCGCAGAGCCAACAAACTAGCGATTGCGAGATCGCCAAAACGTCACAACGATGTAGAAAAAAACCCGGGTATATTTATTATCCTAAGTCTACATGAAATCTATACCCTACACAGACTAATGAAATACTATCTGTAAAATTATCTATGTAAACAAACCTCATCACTTGAGAAGGTAGGTGATGCGGACGTCGTGGAAGACATTTTGTCCCGTAACGCTCGCCGTACTGTTGGGGGGGAGAAGCGGTGGGGGGGAGATGTTCATGTTGCTGCAGTTTGCAGTCTGACCGCTAGATAACGCTAAAGTTACACACTGTAGCTTTAATGTAATGTAATATTGATACTGCGTATCTATTAGAATAGAATGATAGAATAGAAAATCTATTTATTATCCCACAGTGGGAAAAATATTGATAGATTTGGAGTAGATGCTGCCAAATCTGTGGTGATGTATTGAAACTGCCCAAAATATGGACCCGAATCAAATAAAAAATTAGTGGAAAGCCTTTAAAATTGATGTTCAAGAAAAAAAGAAAAAAGCTTATCGATAAAAAAAAATGCTTATTGATCGATATCGATAATTATTGAAAAGATTTGAAACCATATTTTATGTGCAGCTCTGCCTGGACATTTTATGATATTGCTAAATGATTTAACTTTGATAAAGAACACAAACACAGAATTCCAATTAAATCTTTATTTAACTGACTTTTTTAACCATAACAGAATTGTTTTAAAGAAAAATAACTTAAGAGACCTGAGTTATGTTATTAAATACTGACAAAGAATAAACTAAAGTGACCAGAAACGTGACCAAAATAAATACATAAATAGAATACCCTATTTGGGTGGGAATAGTACACCACCAGCTTGTGGCAATTAAAAGATTTGCAGGACTAGGCTACCATGTAAACTCCACTCAACAAGAACAAAAACCCAAACAAAAATCAGTTCACCCTTTAGTCTAACATTTCTATGGGGTATTTTTTTCTCACCCCTATTATTCTAGAGGTGCTGCTGGCACCTCGTTATGGTTCAGCTTAGTTTCCTGCTTTAACATGAGTTATTAATTTGAAGTTGCTGGCCTCAGCATTTTTCTCTCAATTGTTAGAACTACATGGGAAACTGCCCAGAACTGAAAATATATATATATTTTTTCCGAAATTCCCGAAGATTCCTCGGAGGGCGATGCAGAGCCGCGCCAGGGCCTACACAGCTCGTACTCCTGCTGGTGTGAGCGGCTGAGATGATTTAAAAAAAAAAATGTTGGTTGTGTTATCAGACTTGGTTTTCACTGGTTCCCGACACATTTTACAGATGACTGTGGTTTGTTTTTTGTCCGACTTGCCATGACCGAAATACTGCCAAACTGGCGAAATACAAAAACTCTTCTTTGGAACAATTTCCTCCGCCTCTCCTTGCTGCGACAGCTTCATGTGCTCTGTGTTGTGGTTTGAGAGGGCGGCGCTTTGTGATGGAGTGCCTGGGTCCGCGATTGCAATTGGTTGGGAGGAAGTAGTGACTAGCATAAACCTACATGCTAGGCTACAATGAGAAGGAAGGAAAACAGCTTTACTTTATCGAACTTTTATCGACCCTCCTTTTTTCTATTGCGCCACGCGTCTATCGATCGATATATATATCGTTATTGAATTATCGCACAGCCCTATTCAAGATTCTCTTCACTCCGTTTGACAAAGCTTAAAATTGGCCAAAAGTTTTTTTTTGTCTTTGATTATATTTGCATCTATACCTGCCAAAGATGGTGGTTTTACAAACTATTTAGTTCATACAAGTCAGAATTATTTTTTTTAAGCAACAATGCTAAAAGCCAATTATAATTTTCTTTACTTGTAAGTTATGCATTACTGTGTTGATCTTAAGCAAGAGATCCCAATAAAATTGATTGTTAGAAATAAAATCAGGGAAAAATTTTTTTAAATATCAAGTTGAAAGTCAGTGTGTTAGTCTCATTCCTCTGTGTATCTTTTGCTTATTTGATTTCCAAATGTCCATTTGATTTTTATTTTAAACTGATACAGTGAGGAAAATTTGAACAGCTTGTTAGTTATCCAACTTGGAAATAATAGAGGGGTCTGAAATTGTCATCGTAGGTACATGTCCACTCTGAGAAACATAATCTGAAAAGAAAAATCCAGAAATCACAATGTATAATTTTATAAATATTTGTATGATACAGCTACAGATAAATGTGTGAACACCTGAAAAAAATCAATGTTAATATGTGGTACAGTAGCCTTTGTATGCAATTACAGAAGTCAGACTTTTCCTGTAGTTTTTCACCAGGTTTGCACACACTACAGGAGGGATTTTGGCCCACTCCTCCACATAAATCTTCTCTAGATCAGTCAGGTTTCTGGACTGTTGCTGAGAAACACAGAGATTTGCTCCGCATATCCATCTGGAAACCTTCCGTTGAAGTAATTTTGGGAAGGGCCGAAAATACTGGTTAGCTGATTGGCCTATGTTGGTGATAGACGGGCCAAATAAACCAATCAGATCAACGAAGCATATGACGTACTAACAGAGCGACGACGAAAACACAACCACAAGCCAGGCTACTCTTGCCAAAACCAGTCGGGAGAAGAGCAAAAACATCTTTTCTTCTGAGAAAAGCCTCCAGAGCAGTGTTTTGCTCTTCTTTCAGTGAAGAAATACTCTGTAATTCCGATAAAACTTGCTCGATAGCCACGCTAACGCTAGTTTCATCGGCTGAACCCGCCATGTTCTTTAGACTGAACTGTCGCGCTTGTCGTTGCGTCACACCTCAACCCGCATCAAAGCCAACGCTGATTGGACGTTCGTTTGGTGAACGGCTCCAAATTTTCTTTAACGCAGAGTCTCCAGACTGATTAGCGAGTGAAACATTGAAAGCTCGCGAGATCAGGATGGTCTCACGCGGCTAGAAGCTTTATATAGTAGCCCAAAAACTTGTTTTGGCTTAGAAATCATGCAAATTGAACCAGAAGAACGAGTCCAACCCTTAGGAATGGGGAGTCGTTTTGTGTTCTTTGTTAGCCTGCAATGCCTGATACTGGGCTATGCCTCTGAAAGGGGGGTTGTTAGGGGAAATTGTTGGCTTGGCTGCCCAGGAGAGATGTTTTGTCTCCTTCCTTCACACCCCTCTCAAACCACCTGTCTTCTTTGTCCAAAATGTGAACATTCTGGTCCTCAAATGAGTGTCCCCTCTCCTTTGATGTCTTTCTTCTTCTTTCTTTGTGCTTCCCCTCTGTTTTTTTTTTTAGGGACATGAGATTGACAGTCATTTTCAGCTTCTTCCATTTTCTAATTATCGCTCCAACTGTGGACCTTTTTTCACCAAGCTGCCTGGACATTTCCCTGTAGCCCTTTCCAGCCTTGTGGAGGTTTACAATTGTGTCTCTAGTGTCTTTGGACAGCTCTTTGTCCATGTTAGTAGTTGGGTTCTCGCTGATTGTATGGGGTGGACAGGTGTCTTTATGCAGCTACCGATCTCAAACAGGTTAATCTAATTTAGGATAATAAATGGAGTGGAAATGGATATTTTGAAGGCAGACTAACAGGTCTTTTAGGGTCAGAATTCTAACTGATAGCTGTTCAAATACTTATTTGCAGCTGTATCATACAAATAAATAGTTAAATAATCATATATTGTGATTTCTGAATTTTTTTTAATCATGTCTCTCACAGTGGACACGCACCTACAAAGAAAATTTCAGACCTTTTTCCATGATTTCTAAGTGGGAGAACTTGCAAAATAACAGGAAATTCAAATACTTATTTTCCTCACTGTACAAAAAAAGCTTTTCTCTTTCTTTGTCAAAAGAGAACAAATGAAATCCACCTACTTTTAATACCTTTACTGAGATTTCTGTGAATAGCAGGCCTTCTTTTGTCAAGAAAATACATTTTATTCTGGACTAAAGCAACAATGGTATTCCTTTGGTGGTCTTGTGAAGTAAATGCCCATAATTCCTTTTATAGAAAATTATTTTACTTTTTTCTGATTTTAAATTAATTTAATTTCACGTCAGTCAAAATAGAAAACAAAACTTCCCTCATGACACAGAATAAAGAAACTTTTTTTGTATTTGAATTGAATTTTTTTTGTTTTTCAGATTTACAAAGAAGACGATCAGTACGAGTACGTAGATGCCACCAATGACTTGTATTCAAACTGGATGAGGTAAAGACTTTTTACGGTTTCATGTTAGTAAAAACAAAATAAACTTCTCAAAATCGACCCGTTTGCTAGCGACCGTTTTTTAAAGCGTTTTCAACTAACAATAACCACCAAGTTCATTTTATGGACCCAGTGAGCACCAAAGCACAATAAACACAGATATAGCAGCATTTTAAAAATGTAAACATGACAAAGCAGCCACAACAACCTACTACCTTTGAAGGCAGCTAGAAGCCGTGTTATAAATCCAATCTTCAATTGTTTATTCTCCATTCGTCCATAAGGGTCCACAGATTAAGAGTAATCCAGGATATTTATAATAAAAACATTCCATAATGAGAAAATCGCCACAAAACGTCTGTTTTTTGACATCAGAAAAGTTAGCTGGTCAAAGCTAATGCTTAGGACCTTGCTAATAAGACTTCCTTCCTCAAACATTTTCTGCAATGTTTGGTATGTTTTTTTTTTTTTACATCGTCTTCCCACCTATAAGACAAAAGTGTTCACATCTTTGTATGACTTGATTTTAGTCAGAGACAGCTGATGAGGTCTCACAAGCTCCTTCTTGCCTAGTAGATATTCGCTAAATGAAAGGTTTTATATTCTTATATTTTTTTTTATTAGGGATGGAACGGTTTTTGAAAACTGTCCGAACCGTTCAGTTCGACTGTCTCGGTTCGGTTCCCGTGTAGCGTTCGGTTCATGCGCTGCTCCTTTTTCTCATAGGCGAAGCGATTACACTCCAGAGCAGAAGGTGGCGGTACTCCGACTAGTAGTAAACAAGAAGAAGAAGAAGCCAAGCAGCGTAGCCGGGTGTAACAGAAAAACATCAGTTGTTGTGGAGAATTGTGTGGGTATGGCGAGTGGGAAAGAACAGGAGTTGGAAGACGCGCCAGCAGCACTTTATAGGTCTGCTGTATGGGAGCGCTTTGCATTTAGAGTGACCTACGATGACGGCGGAAAGAAAGTTGTGGATAAAAGTGAAACAGTGTGCAAGCATTGTGCAACACGTTTTGTTTATGCTAACAGCAACACGACCAACATGTCATGCTAATCCCGAAATCCCTCATACTCCATCAGCGCTCCGCCCCGCTGCGCTCCAGACCGCCTGCTCAAAGCAAAGCCTACAGCCTCCACTGTGGCTCCCGTCCGCTCCGCTCTGAGTTCCTTGGAGATCGTAGAGGGCATGCGCCAGATGATTAAATTCAAAGCAGCAAAACATACGGAAATGATCCACGGTTTCCGCGGATCATTAAAAATAGTTACAATTCATTAATCTTTTAGGATTTTTTCATTAATTTCATACATTTAAATTTTCTCATAAATTTTTATAATTTTTATTACATTTTTTATTTTTCGGTGTAACAATAAACATATACCGAACCGAAAACCGTGACCACGAAACCGTGAACCGAACCGTGGATTTTGTGAACCGTTCCACCCCTAATATATATATATACACTATATTGCCAAAAGTATTTGCTCACCTGCCTTGACTCACATATGAGCTTAAGTGACATCCCGTTCCTAATCCATAGGGTTCAATATGACGTCGGTCCACCCTTTGCAGCTAGAACAGCTTCAACTCTTCTGGGAAGGCTGTCCACAAGGTTTAGGAGTGTGTTTATGGGAATTTTTGACCATTCTTCCAGAAGCGCATTTGTGAGGTCGCACACTGATGTTGGACGAGAAGGCCTGGCTCTCAGTCTCCGCTCTAATTCATCCCAAAGGTGTTCTATCGGGTTGAGGTCAGGACTCTGTGCAGGCCAGTCAAGTTCATCCACACCAGACTCTGTCATCCATGTCTTTATGGACCTTGCTTTGTGCACTGGTGCACAGTCATGTTGGAAGAGGAAGGGGCCAGCTCCAAACTGTTCCCACAAAGTTGGGAGCATGGAATTGTCCAAAATGTCTTGGTATGCTGAAGCATTCAGAGTTCCTTTCACTGGAACTAAGGGGCCAAGCCCAGCTCCTGAAAAACAACCCCACACCATAATCCCCCCCTCCACCAAACTTTACACTTGGCACAATGCAGTCAGACAAGTACCGTTCTCCTGGCAACCGCCAAACCCAGACCCGTCCATCAGATTGCCAGATGGAGAAGCGCGATTCGTCACTCCAGAGAACGCGTCTCCACTGCTCTAGAGTCCAGTGGCGGCGTGCTTTACACCACCGCATCCGACGCTTTGCATTGCACTTGGTGATGTATGGCTTGGATGCAGCTGCTCGACCATGGAAACCCATTCCATGAAGCTCTCTGCGCACTGTTCTTGAGCTAATCTGAAGGCCACATGAAGTTTGGAGGTCTGTAGTGATTGACTCTGCAGAAAGTTGGCGACCTCTTCGCACTATGCGCGTCAGCATCCGCTGACCCCGCTCCGTCAGTTTACGTGGCCTACCACTTCGTGGCTGAGTTGCTGTCGTTCCCAAACACTTCCATTTTCTTATAATACAGCTGACAGTTGACTGTGGAATATTTAGGAGCGAGGAAATTTCACGACTGGATTTGTTGCACAGGTGGCATCCTATCACAGTTCCACGCTGGAATTCACTGAGCTCCTGAGAGCGACCCATTCTTTCACAAATGTTTGTAAAAACAGTCTGCATGCCTAGGTGCTTGAATTTATACACCTGTGGCCATGGAAGTGATTGGAACACCTGATTCCAATAATTTGGATGGGTGAGCAAATACTTTTGGCAATATAGTGTATATATATATATATATGCCAGTCAATCTTCAGATGAAAATGGAAAAAAAGTGGTAAAACTGTTGTAGCTAGAGGACACTATTTTTATTTATATTTTCAAAAAACAAGAAGGTGGTAGCTTTCAAATGATGTATCACACATCTAGTTTGGGCTGACAGTTGACCTTTGATGACCTCTAGAAACATGTCTTTATATCTTAAAAATGGTAGCAGCACAAACAAACATTTTTGCTGCACAATCCAGCACAAACGTTTGACACAATTTTGTCTGATATGAAGAAGGTGGGGGGGCTATCTTCACTCAGGTCCTGAAATTAGGAGTAAAGCCAGAGCCCAGTGAGGGTCTATTCAACTGAAATAGTATCCCTAGTATTTTTTGGTAACAAATTTATATCTTATGGGAACGAATTATCTTTTTGTGGGAACAAATTAGTATTTAGTGCGCACACTTTCTTTTTTAATCCCATGTCAGTTCCGTCTCCGTATAAACCAGAAGGGTGTAAAGTTATTTTTTTGCAATTTGCAAGCAAGAAAATATACAAATTTCTAATTTTGATACATTTTATGAGATCATAAACATATGCTAATGTGACTAGCTGAAAAAAAGCAAGTGGATACAGAGATTTTTATCTGCACCGTTATATAATTACATATAATTCCACGTGAACCTCTTTTCTCAAGTGTTGTTTCTGCAGCCAGAGCTGCTAATGGGCCTGTTTGCCGTCTGCAGAGTGACGTCACAGTTGAAATAGAATACAGAGGGTTGGGGCCATTTCCCTCACTAATCTCAAAATAAACTTTAAGTCCAATTCTGGAGTCAGGATCCCAGGATTTCTTACTTTACTTGTTTTTTCTGATGCCAAGTGTCTCAAACCAAAGTAGAAATTAATTCTGCCAAGGGGTTTAAATAAGTTTAAAACATTTTAACTGAGCTTTTCTTTTTGCTTAGGTATGTAAACTTTGCGCGGAACAAAGACGAGGCCAACCTGGTGGCAGTCCAGTGCAAAGGCAGCGTCCTGTTCCACTGCTGTCGCTCCATACAGACTGGAGACGAGCTCACAGTGTGGCCCAGCAGCAAACTGCTCGCTCATTTCAGTTCAGATTGGACCAAGATGTTGTCTTTGAAGATGAACAGAACAGGTTAGCTTTTACTACATTTGTCACAAAATTAGATTTTCTGTTTAAATTCCTGTCACATTTCCAATTTTTCCCTGGCATTGCAGTGAACGGCGATTCCACTTCGTCTCCGATTTACCTGTGCTCCAACTGTCTTCTCTCTTTCACAACGGAGAGCTTCCTCCTCCGACACATAGAACTCTTCCACTCTGAGCCTGACGCTGAAAATGCAGAAGAAAACCACGCCTCCGTAGACGAGCCTGCAGCCTCCCCGCTGCAGCTCGTCGACGGGATTAAATCCAAAACATGCGACGACTGCGGGAAAGTTTTTAAACAAGTCCCCTACCTCAGGAAGCACCAGCAGTGCGTGCATTCCAACAAGCGGCCTTACTGCTGCTCACATTGCAGGAGAAGCTTCAGCCGGGCGTACGGTTTGCTCAGACACCAGAGCATTCATAGAAAAACCGCAGCTACGAAAAGATTGGCCCCTCGGAACTCGGCGCTGAAAGCAGAACTTTCTAACAGGACTGAAGCAGCCGCGTCTGAGCAGATGAAAGAAATCGACTCTGATTGTTTACAAGCGAACGCGGATATCGGTGCCGAGACTCCGTCTGCTGAAGAGGCAGAAACACACCAGCTGGATAGTTCAGTTTGTGGAAATATCTTCACGAACGAAGAGCAACTCCAGAAGCACAAGAAGACTGTTGACGAGGATTCACGCACTTATGTCTGCTCTGTGTGCCAGAAATGCTTCGGCAAGGAGAACGAGCTGCGCAGGCACCTGCCCAGTCACCAGAGGGAAAATGAAGAGGATGCAGAGGACCCCTCCGCAAAGCCGTTTAGCTGCGGAGAGTGTTGGCTGGCTTTCTCTTCTGTGGACGCCTTGCAGCTGCACATAACGGAGCTGCACTCGCAGGGAGCGGATGCCGAGAATCAAGAAGAGTGTTCGGCTGCTGCAGAAACCAGAGACTCCACCTTAAACCGGGCCCCTCTGAGGCCTCAGCGTCTCAAAGCCAGATCCAAAGTTTCTGCCCTCACCAAACTCGTCGCACCTAAACGCAAAGCATCCAAAGAGCCGGGGGCCTCGGCGGTCAGCGGCGCGAAAACGGTGAAATACAAGTGGTTTAGCTGCAGCCGCTGCAGGCAAACCTACGGGAACCCAGAGGATCTCAAAGCACATGTTTGCTCTTTGAAGCAGCTGAAGTGTGGGGAGTGCAGAGCTGCTTTTACTACTTCTGATCTGCTCAGGAGACACAAGCAGGTAGAGCACGGAAGAGCACAATCTTTCTGTTGCGACTCCTGCGATAAAAGATTCTCCACGTCGGCGAAGCTGAAACAGCACCAGAAGAAGAAATCCTGCCAGAAGTACCACTGCACCGCCGAGCTTTTCCCCTGCTCCTTCTGCCAGTTCTCCTTCACCATGAAGAGCTACCTGATCAAACACATCAAGCGGCACCACCCCATGGAGCTTCTGTCCAGCTGCAGCTCAGACAGCCCGGCGGAGCGGCCGGAGTACGCATGCCAGCACTGCGGGGCGAGCTGCCCGGACGCAGAAGGTCTCAGATCTCACATATGCATCCAGCAGGTGAAGGTTTTGTATTTGTGCACCGAATGCGGGAAGAGCTTCACAAACCACTACGGCCTGAAGCAGCACCAGCGCATTCACACGGGCGAGAAGCCGTACAGCTGCAGCCACTGCGGCAAGAGCTTCTCCTACGTGGGCCAGCTCAACGTGCACCTGAGGACTCACACCGGGGAGAAACCCTTCCTCTGCCCCCACTGCGGCGAGAGCTTCCGCCAGTCCGGGGATCTGAAGCGACACGAGAGGAAGCACACGGGCGTGAGGCCGCACACGTGCCCCGAGTGCGGCAAGAGCTTCAGCCGCCCGCAGAGCCTCAAGGCTCACCTGCTGCTGCATCAGGGAGAGAGACCGTTCAAATGCAGCCAGTGTGGGAAGAGCTTTTCCAGGAACTATCACCTCAGGAGGCACCATCAGAAGATGCACACGTAGAAACCCATTAGCAGGACTCATCATGGTGAAAGCGCTTAAATTACCTGAGGTCTGCACTAAATGACTTGACAGATGGCTGTAATGTGAAGGCTGTTCTGGAAGCTTCCGGTTTGCCGCCTTTATTTATTTGAGTTTTTTTATTTATTTGAGTAATTTAGTTTAGAAAGTTTTTCACTTTGTGCAATGCTTTTCTTTCATAACAGCCCCGCAGCATCATGCTGCTGCCGCCGTGCTTTATATTACAGTTCTCCAAAGCCTCACCCAGAATCATCCAAACATACAGTAAATCTCACCCTTTATTTTCTTTGTTGAAGAGACGAGACCATAGCTACGGAAGAGGATTAGGGCCACTGAAAAATAAAAGGTTAACTGATTTTTAAATTTTATTACAGTTTAACATGGGGAAAAAAGTCAGAATTCTGACTTTTTTTTCTCAGAATTCTGACTATTTTCCCATATTAAACTGAAATAAAATGTAAAAATCAGTTAACCTTTTTTTTTTTTCCCACTGGCCCCAATTCTAAGCTGTACATAGCTGATAATTTCAAAACCTTTTTTCCTTTTAATGTGACTCATATTCTGCTCATTTCAGCGCAAAACATGTTGAAAAATTCTGAAAGATGCAACAACGTTGTTCATAAATGCTCGCCACCTTGTTTAAAATGAATACTTTCTCAGGTAGGTTCTCTTCTCCTGACTGATACGAAGCCTACCTGATGGGCTAATTGCCCAACGCCACCACCTTCTGAACTTCAGCCACCTTCTTTGTTTCCTTTCCTTCACTAATGGACAGTTTCCTTAATCCATTAATCTCATTAATCATGGCAAAAATGACCAGAGTCATCTGCATTAATCAGTTTTTTTCAAGTAAAGAAAGACAGGAAACAACGTAGATGGGTGAAGTTCAGGAGTTTTTGAAGTTTGCTATAAAGCCCATTAGGGAGCGAAACAAAAATGTTCCAATTGTTAGACAATAAAGGGATATAAAATGTGCAGCAGGAGGCTAGGAAAGCTTAAGGTTATGTTAAACTAGAGTAGGGGTACCCAGTCCAGTCCTCAAGGGCGACCATCTTTAATTTTGGGTACATTTCTTATCAAACCCGTCTGCATCACATAAATGACTCGTTAAAAGGCCTCTGCAGAGCAGAATGACTGAACGCTCATGAGAAAATATCTAAAAGTTTATGAATGGCAAAGGCTGTTAATGACATAAAAGGACAGCCAAACATTTTATGTTCCGCAGATTCAGTACGATAAGGTGGCTGTCGCTTAGAGCCACCTTAAAAAAAGCAGCTCGCACTAAAACTTGGTCAGTCTGCTTTCCTTTCATTTAAGGCTGTTCTGGTCTTCATCATTTTTTATAAATAAGTAGATCTTCAGACATATTTTTCCTAAAAAAATCCAACAATATGATTAGCACTAAAGACGAGCAACCAGGTTAACTGTAGTGACACTGTACAGAAAATTAATCACAATAATTAAGAAAAAAACATTGAAATTAGTCAAATTTCTATTTGGAGCATCTTTCATGTTTCTCTACATCCTCAGTGTTTTCTCTTGTCAAAGTCAATATTGTCTGAACTAAACCAACCTTGAAGATATAAGTTATTTATTTACAAAATTCACTTTATTTTTCAGAGAAATAGAAAAAAACCGACATTCGGATTTTGTCACATTTGAAATAAAAACACAAATGCTCATCACTGTTGACCATTTATTCCACAAAACATACAATGCAAAGCGTGTGCACTGTACAAGCCTTAATAATTATGAAAATAGTCATAACCATGCCTGTTTTTTTCTTTTCTTTTTAGTAAGTAATCCTAGATTTGTTTTAATGACCATCCTGATCTACTGGTTTTCAACACGACGGAACAACTTTGTCTAGTCGATCAACTTTTACTTTTGTCCTTTTTTCTTTTTTTTCTTCATCGACTACATTATAAATACGCAAATTGAAAATATTGAAGTCCGACCTGAACTATACAAACATACTGCAATGACAGGTGACTGGTTTAAACTGTGCATTTAACCCAAACAGGTAGAAACCTGGCAGTGTTTTTCCATGTGCTACACGCGGGGGTGTCAGGTGGAGCTGCTGGTTCCAGACTAAAACTTGGCTGCTGGTAATGACTTTAAAAAAAAAAAAGGAAAAGATCTCAGTCCAGGTTATGGTTTAGGTATCGGTAGCTCCAGTTGCACAAGTCCTCACCGTCCGTATGAAGGGAAAACCAGAGGACTGTTACTCGTGGCACAGGAGGTGCGGGTTTGTTTATTTCAGTCCTTTTTTTCTAAAGACTTGAGGGATGAAACCAGAGGAATGATCTCTCCTTGGTGGGATTTAGTGTGTAGAAAATACACAAACACTTCAGGAAGGTAGGCAGCAAGGTTAGGTAACAAGACCCCTAAAAAGAAGGTAACTGTTACTACGAAGAAAGAAAAAAAATAATCAGTTTCCATTCACGTACGGCGCCGTCAGTGCAATCTCCTCCCTTCTTCTCGCGTTATGTAAAATATACAACCTTCCACTCCTGGTTTATATTATGTTAAATGTTTTCCACATTAATTAATTTTTACAAACCAAACTTAAAAACACGGCATCACATCTGTACAAAAACAGGTGGGTCACAAACCAGGTAAACCAAAAAAAAAAAAAAAAGGTTTTTGGCAATTAAAAGCAACAGCTTGGTCTGTCACAAGACGACAAATTATACTGGAAAAATTAAAAAAAATACAGGAAAAACAGGAAAGGTACATTTAGAGCTCAACAGAGTCTGTTTTAGTGCTGTTTCAATAAATGTTAAAGGAAAAAAAAAAGGTTTAAATGGCCAAAAAACACGGAGTGTGACCGGGCTCACGTTGGAGACAGAAGATATCCTGCAGTTCAGTTCGTCAGCTGAAGTTTATATGGAATGAAAAAAGGCTTTTATAAGGGTTCAGATTTTAGCTCCTCCACCATAACCTCCAGATCAGCCACCTGTAAGAGAGGAGAGAAGAAAGCTTAGCGACATCAGCTGAAGGTTTCAACTAAACAACAATGGCAGCCAGATTAAACTAAACATCTTCATTGTGTTTGGCTTTTTTAAGTAACCGCCTGTTTGGGATTGTTCTTATTTTAAGGGTATCTAACTAAAGCAGAGGAAATTTTCTACTTTTACTGGCTTATTTAAATAGATTTTATTAGATATTTATATTCCTGGGAAGTTTTTACCCAAACGTTACCTGTTCCTGAAGTTGTCCTGACTCCTCTTTCAGGAGAGACGCCTCGGCTCCGACCTGCGCGCAGCGCTCCGTCTCCTTCTTCAGATACTCGATCTCCCTGTAGGAGAAGTCACAGCAAAGCTTCATGAACAAAAGAAAAATATGCACAAAGCTTTAAAATGGTTGACAAGTTGCATAATCTCATTTTTTGCATTTTAAAATTCCAATGTTTTATAAAAGCATAAAGTGGGAAAAGCAATCTGTCTCTAAATGTTTATAGTTTCTCTAATGCCACAAATATTGGCCTCCCAGATACTTTCCTATACAGTGTAATATTTCCATTTGAATATTTTTGAATTTATGAAATTTAACATTTTCTCTCAGTTTTTAAAACTTTTTTTTTTTTTTGAAGATATTTTTTAAGGGTTTATTTTCTCTCACAATGTGCTTAAACTGACTTTGGGTTCAGCATTTGGGAAACTTCTATTCTGATATTTTCTGCTTCCTTAAAATATACAAAATGTATAATGCTGAAAAATCTGGGGAGGATTTTCCTAAATCTGAACTTTTGAAAATTGAACACTATTCTAAAATTTCACAAAAGTCTTAATAATATGAGTAAATTAACAATCAACCATATGCAGCTAAAGAATGCTGCATCTAGATTAAAAACCAACAGTGAAATTAAAGGTTTGCTTAGTTGGGATTTTGTCTCAATTTTAATGTACAAACGGGTTAAAAAAAAAAAAAGTTGTGGAAACAAAAGTACAATTAATGTTGACAAGAAAATCAGAATAAAACTTTTTTTTTTTTTTCCCCTGGAATTTAAATTTCTATTTATTTATCAAAGTAGTTAGTACAGTTTTTTCTACAGTCAGGATCAAAGCTGATCATCTAAACTTTATGACGGAGTATTAGGGCCAGGTTAGAGATATTTTTTATTTTTAGAATAAAGTCGTAACATTACAAGAACAAAGTTATATTACGAAAATGAAGTCATCATACCACAATCTGTTTCAGAAAGAAAGCTTGGAGCTCCGACCAGCATATGAGTCCACCTTGACCTCTCCAAACTGAAGCTTGAAAGATTTCCTTATTTGGCAAACCAGAGCCAAAGTATAACTTCACATGATGCTCCACATTCCTCATTTTAGGGAAGGCAGTGCTTCTTGTAGGAATTGTCATAAAATACAACTTGTTTCTCTTAATTTTAGGACTTGATTCTCCAAATTTTATGAATATTCTTTTGACTTTATTTTCTTGTAATTTTATGACTTCATTCTCGTTGCGTCTTTATTCTCAGAATATTACTTTATTCGCATAATTTTTATGACTTGATTCTCGTAATTGTACGACTATCCTTGTGACTTTTTTTCTCGTAATTTTATGACTTCATTCTCTTTGCAACGATATTCTCAGAATATTACGACTTTATTCACATAATTTTGACTTTATTCTCGTAATTTTACGACTAGTCGCATAATTTTATGACTATTATTGATGCGACTTTATTCTCAGAATATTACGACTTTATCCTCATAATTTTTACGACTTGATTCTCGTAATTTTACGACTATTCTTGTAATTTTAGGACTATCCTTGTGACTTTTTCTCATAATTTTATGACTTCATTCCCTCTGCAACGATATTCTCAGAATATTACGACTTTATTCTTGTAATTTTATTACTTCATTCTCGTTGCGTCTTTATTCTCAGAACATTACTTTATTCGCATAATTTTTATGACTTGATTCTCGTAATTGTACGACTATCCTTGTGACTTTTTTTCTCGTAATTTTATGACTTCATTCTCTTTGCAACGATATTCTCAGAATATTACGACTTTATTCACATAATTTTGACTTTATTCTCGTAATTTTACGACTAGTCGCATAATTTTATGACTATTATTGATGCGACTTTATTC